CTCCCCGCAGAGCAGGGAGCCCGATGCGGGACTCGATCCCAGGACTCTGGGATCATGACCCGAGCCGAAGGCAGTCGCTTAACCAACTGAGCCACCCAGGCGCCCTAATTTTCCTTTCTTATATTTATCCTTCTCTGGTTTTGAAATCAAAGTTATATCAGCTTTATAAAATGAATAATAGCACCTTGGGCAGGACAGAGAAGCCTTTCCTTCTTTTTAATTAACTTCCCTGAGCCTCCTTTTCTACATCTGGAAAGTGGAGTTGACACCTGCCTAATGTGAGGAAAGCTCCGAGCCAGGTGCCTGACGCAGGCCAGTGCTCCCTCCTGAGAGCCCCTCCCCTTGCCCTGGGTGTGCCAGTGCCCGTGAGCCTACCAGGTCCCGGAGCCTCTGCAGGAGCTGCAGCACGTCTACCAGCTTCTCCTCCAGCAGGGACAGCCGCACCCTCTCTGTCTCCACCATCTGCAGCTCCAGCCTCAGGTGCTCATTCTCTTCCACCTTCTGCTGTAGCTCTGCCTGCGGGGACCAATGGGGACTCAGCACCCACCCTGCTGCCCTCTGCCCAGCACTCACTGTGCCATCTCCAGGCAGGGCCCATGACTTGCCTTGACCCTTTCATGGAGGTCATCTCATCTGACTCCCCCACCGCCAGCCTGCCAGTGACTGGGCAGGTAAAGTCCCCCATCTTCCCAGTGCTGGCACCAAGGCCCAGAGAGGCTGCATGTGTGGCCTAAGGTCACACAGTGAGTTGCGTTAATGTAGGAATATGCATATTTTGTTTTCTAGTTGAGGACTCCATTTTCCCTTCTCTATCCATCTGCTTTCTTTTCTTTTTAATACATTTTTTTGGTTGCAAGCAACAGAAACGTATCTGGCTAGTTAAACAGAGAATTCACTGGCAGGCTCTGGGTCATTCCCAGAACAGACTGGCAGCTGGAGAAACTCAGGGATGGGGCAGCAATGGGGATTGAGATGTAGGACAGTCTCAAGCCTCTTGTCCAGGGGTCAGAGCTGAGAAGGACACTCTGCAGACACTCTCCCACTTCCCTCAAGATGGAGAGCCCCAGGAGGGGGCCCTATTGGGCCAGCGTGAGTCATGGCCCACCCTTGGCCAGGGGAGCACTGAGACCATGAGTCCTACCAGGATACCCACCAGGGGGCAGATGCCAGGCAGTCACAAAGCATCACATGGCTACTTGCCTTCTAAAGCAGGGATGCCAGGAGTAAGGCAGTCCCAATTCTTGGCACCGATGGAGGGAAAGAGGAGCAGCTGAAGGTGTGGTGCCCTTGGACACTCTGGGCCTTGGGCAGGACAGAGAAGGCATGGTGCCAGTGCCCACTGCAGATGGGACTGGAAGGGTGGCTTGGAGACACCACTCACATGCCTCAGTAACTCTCCTAACCCCCCACTTCCTTGGAATTCACTTAGAAAAGGGGTGATGGCCATGCCCTTTGGATCCACATCAGACCACAGATACGTCAAAAACAGTATGGATTTAGAATTTCAGGTGTATAAATATAAAGCTATCTTAGATCAAAACGATAGTTTGCAAAAGCGCAGTGGGCTAGGGCTTAGTGAAATGGTAACTCTCAATAGCACTCTGCACTTGATTACTGTGGAATGGAGTCGAGAGATGAGAAAAACATGCTAAGTGGTCTTATTGAAATGGAGACACCCCGCTATTGGCGTTGCTTCCAGCTCCCTCCCACTACCCTCAGTAACCTTCCTGGGGAGAAGTGTCCCTCCTCCCCCTTGTCTGACTTTGATGGAGCTGCTAATCCCTGAACCCTGCCTGCCTACCACAGGGATTGGCCCAGGGACAGGCACAGGACCGAGGCTGGGCCAGTTGGAGTTCTTCCCTGAGATGTAATATATTGGGCTCTTATCCCCCTGGGCTTTCTTAGGTGGGCCAATGGGAGCCTAGAGCTGTCTGTGGCCTTGCCTTTCCTTTCACCACCACATGGAGGAAGCCCTTCTGAAGTAGGGGGATTGAGGCCAGCACCCGAGAAACCCAGAGCAGATAGAGGTAGGTGGAGACAATCTTGTCTGAGTCACTGGATCCAGCTGTTCCTGAAGCTCATCTCCTCGGCTGTTCTTCTGAGGCTGTTCTTGCCAGCTCCATATTCTAATAAATACCTGTTTATAATTCCATTAACTTGCAACCCAAATATTCTTCATTAAATCTAAATCAAAGCAAGTCACATCTCCTCTCTGAGTCTTGGTTTGCTCATCTGTGAACAGGGCCCAGGACTTGGCTGATATGCCTCGAGGGTTCTTCCAGCTATGAGAGAGACTCTAGCGTTGGTCCAGACCTCAACCTCTGGGGCTCAGCTGACCTCCTCCCCAGGTGTCCCCAGGGCCTTCCCACGGCAGCCCTGGGTCCCCAGCTGCTCCACCAGCATGGCGATGCGGGCCTCCAGCTGTCCCAGGGTGCAGGCATGGTCACCACTGCCAAAGTGGCCGAAGTAAGTCATGAGCTTCTTGGCTGTCTGGTCATCACACCTGCAGCAAAAGAGAGCACCAGCACTGTGGAGCGGCTCTGCAGAGTCTGCTTCAGCCTCACAATGTGGGTGTTGCCACTGAGTCTGTCTCCTGAAAGTTAAGCCAGGCCATGGCACCCCCTGCTCAGTACCCTCCCATGGCTCCCCGTCTTACTCCAAGGAAAAGCCAAAGGCCTCCCCCAATCTGCCCCTTCGATCTCTCTGACCTCCCTCCCATTCATCTTCACTCACTGTGCTCCAGCCCCAGTAGCCCCCTCACTGCCCCTCTAACATGCCTCAGGGCCTTTGCACTTGCTGTTCCCTCTTCCTGGAATGCACTTACCTGTGTCCTTCAGGTCTTTGCTCACATGGCACCTTCTTAGAGTGGCCTTCCCAGCATCTCCCTGCACCCCCCTGTCCCTTCCCCTGCTTCACCTTTCTTCCTCACACTTGTCACCACTCACTAGAATAGGAGCTCCAGGAGGTGGGGGTGCTGTCTTGCTTATTGCTGTTCTCTCAGTGCCTCCAGATTTGCCCGGCACATAGCAGGTGCTTAACAAATGCTTGTTGTTGACTTAAGGGTTGGTGATAACAATAACCCGGGAAAATTGACAGCACTGTACAATATAATGAAAGTCAGTGCCGCCCCCCGATGGTGAACCTACAGGGATCAGGCACCTGTTAGGCATTTTATAGCCTTGTTAGCAAGTCCTCAGAAAACCTCTGCCAGACAAGTGTTACTGGCCCATCTTAGAGACAAGAAGGCTGAGGCTCAGAGAAGTCAGGCAACTTGTCTGAGGTGCCCCAGGCATCTGGGTCTTTCTTCCCTCCAGAGTGGTTGTGAGGATTAAATAAGCCAGGGGGTCAGCTGGAGGGGGCCCTATAAGCGCTGTTTCTCGCAGGAGCAACGGGGTAAGGAAGGGTCTGGTATGTCCTGGAGTAACACTAGAGCTTTGGGCCATGTCTTGGCATAGCGGCCAGGGGAGTGGGAGGAAACCAATGGGAATTAAAGCTCCCCACAAAGAGTGCCTTTGTCAGTCACCTCATTTCATCCCTGCACACGCTGGGGGGCTGTCTTCTCACTTCCCTCCCGTGGGCTAGGGGCCAGGGTGTCCAGGGAGCTGGGGGTGACCCAGCCTGGACTTGAATCAGGTCCCCAAGGTCAAGCTCTGGGAAGGGGCTCTGGGACTCCAGCACCAATCCCAGCCACCCGCCCGCCCCAGCGCACATACCCACTTCTGCAGCTGGAGAGGCGCATCAGCAACGTCTTGACCTCTGCCAGTGACCTCTGCTCTTCCTGCCACTTCTCTTCACCCTCCTCTTCTTCGTCGGAGGCGGCCTGGCCCTCCACTGAGCGGAACAGCTGCCCGTCCACTGCTGGAGAAGCACGGGATGCCGGCACCAGGGCCAAAGGGAGGGAACCAGGCAGCCCTCCCCAGGGGGACGTGCGGTGGGCCCCGCAGAGGGGACAGGCTCTGGCACCATCAGCCCTTTTTCCAGATAGCTGCTCTCCCACACTCCCCGTCCCTGCAAGGTGAGGCCACCGAGGCTGCTGGGTCCCCTCCCCAGTGCCTGGCCCAGTCTGGCCAACCGGAGCCCCTCCCTGGGGTTTTACACAGGGCCCCCGGGAGCAAGGAGCCCTTTCTCTTCTCTGCTTTCTAAGATGGCACAACTAGCCAGGGCCTGTCTGCGCTCTCAGAGGTGCATATTATTTCCATTTTAGGATATGACAGTCCCAGCCAGGGGAGCCACAGGGCAGGGGTCGGGGCTCTGCAGGGCATGGGCACCAGGTTGAACAGATTTTCAGCTCTCAGGGAGCTACATGCCTCTACCATTTGGGAAGTCACGTGTGTGACTCCGTGTGATCCCCAACGTGGCCGTGTCTGGTTGGGGTACTCCAGTCTGGTTGCACATTGGAAACCCCGGGGACTGGCCGCCCAGCGTCGGCCTCCATCTCTGGGGGGGTGTGGGGGGGCAGCCCCTGACCATCTCTTCAGGGGAAGCCTTCCCTCTCCTCCCCACTCCACCCCAGCCCAGGGGACACGTGAGTCCAGGCTGGCCAGGCAGAGTGCACACAGCCCGGCCACATGACGAGTTCAGCCGCGGCAGGGGACCTAGTGTGAGCCAAGGACAGCCAGGCCAAAATCTGAGTCAAACTTCCAGGGAAGAGAAGAGCCGCCATTCCTCTGGCCCGGGAGTTGGAGGGTGTGGGTCTGCAGCTTGTGGGGGCTGTCTGGTCAGTCTGAGGGGAGCACCTTCTGCACAAGGCAGCAAGAGATGAAGTTCCATGACACCCTGGCTGTGCCTGAAGCCTACGTGGACTTTTTCATTAATTCGAGCCAGTCTGACAGTGACAATGGCCTGATCCTCACAGACAGATAGTGTCCTGAGCAAGAAAGCTGTGTCCTCCTCCCCTGCAGAGGGAGAGGAGAATCACAAGCAGCAGAGCTGGGGTGGGCCTGGGCCTCTGCATTTCTAAAAGGCTCCTGGGTGATCCTGACCACCTGGTAGGTTTGGGAACCACTGACTCAGGTCTCCTGACTTGGGACACCCATCTCTCCAGCTTGACTGTCCCAGCTGGTTGGGCTCAGGGCCCTTCTGTTTTGTTTCAGTAGAAACTGTCCCAGACCAAACAGAACCAAGGTTGAGGGGACTGGTCCCTGACTTTTTGGTTGTATGAATTGCATTCCCAGTACTGACAATTTGTTTTTGGTCCTGGCAATTTCCCGACGCTGTGTGTGTATGTGTGTTGTGTACGCGCGTGCACGTGTATATGTATGTGTACGTGTGTACATGTATGTGTGTGTAGATGTATGTGTGTGTGTACATGCATGTGTGTGGCATCATTGTTGTCACGGTCATTAATACTGTCCTGGTGCCCCAGGCAGGGGCAGGCGAGGCGCTCTGAAGAGGAACGGGAAGGATAGTGCCCAGCAGCCCCCACACCTGCCCACGACTGAGCCCGGAGAGCACTGGGCACGCCTCAGCCAGTGTTGCTCCCCTTCCCACATGACAGTTCCACACCCACCAGGCCCCGGTTCTTGAGCTGATGGGCCTCCTTGTGGTCTTCTTGAGGGGTGTCCATCCAGCCCCTGCTTACATACCTCTGATGATGGGGTGCTCACTCCACCTCAGTTCCCTGGGCACCCAGCCCATCCCTGCATGGGGCTGAAAGGAGACAGACTTTTCCCCACACTGAGCTGGAACCTATCCCTGGGAACCGCCTTCTCCCACCAGGTGTCTGTACTCCCCGGCCTAAGGACGGAGCCCTTGTTACTCGGGAAGCCCCGCCTCAGCACACAGCGGGAGTGGGCTTCTGTTTGGAGGCTGGATGGCAGCATTGGTGTGGACAGCTGTGGGAATGGGGCCTGGCACAGCCGGCCAATCGTGAGCCTGGCAGCAAGCCTGAGTGTGGCGGGGACAAACCTTCGTCCAGGGGTCCGCTCCTGGAACCGCTGTCTGACTGCCAGGCTCCCTCTGGAGGGCTGTCTGGGCTTCTGGTCCCACTGTCCGCAGGGTCACCACTCTTGGCTTCTGGCTCTGGGCTGGCTTGTGACGAGATTGGGGTCTGGGTGCCCTCCGACCTGTGGGCAGAGGAGAATACACAGGTGTTGAGAGGGAGGAGGGGGCTCAGCCGGCTTCCTGCAGGAGAGTGTGGGATGTGGGCCCACTCTCTTCCACTGCTTACTCTGCACAGGTGAGCTGTGTATGATGTGCCTGAAGAAGACCCTGGATTGTCTCTGCGGTTGACCCTACTGACTCCCTACCCAGCGGCCAGCATGTTAGAGCCAACCTTCCATGACAGACACTCACTCTCTCAGCACCTCTTGCAGCCAAGGCACAGGCTATAACCCAATTTTAGCCAGTGAGACTAAAGGCAAAATCTGAGGAGCCTCTGGAATGGATCTGTATCCCTTATAAAAAGAAGATCAGGAAAGGAAATGCCCTTCCTTCCTGGCTTTGGACATTATCATGTGGATATGATGTTTGAAGCTATGGCAGCCATCTTGTGACCAAGAGGAAATGGCTGAGAGAATTACAGAGTAGTTAAACAATAGCCCTGACATCTTTCAGCGGCTGAGTTAACTAGTCTTGGAGTTACCCACCTCTGGACTTCTTATTACGGGTGAGATTTTTTTTTAAAAGTCTTAATTGTTTCAGTTACTTTTAACTGCATTAAGATTGAAAGTATCTCTCCTCTTTGGGCTTTGGAGAACCTACTTCAGCCTCATCAATCAATTTTCTTGATAATCTAAGGTCCTCACTTTTTGGATATTCATTTTCCATGTCACTGCAGTTACAAGGTCAAGGAAAACATGAAAACGAATCTATCATAACATGAAAATATTCACTAATGAACTACTGCTTGTTAAACTAGTCCTTCCCTTCTCCTTCATTGTACACCAACATCTGTCTCTCATCTCTTCAGAAGCTGTCATTCCTCATCTCTCTCTGACTATCAGATGTAACAACCCAGTACAAAGTGTCTGTAAAATGAAACTGCACATCTTGGAAAAGGAGAGCCTTTGAGATATCGGCGAAGGGGATACTGGAGAACCGTGGGATTACAGCAGAACCACTGATTGTGGGGATGTGGTGGAGTTGGACCAGTCTATGACTGAATAAGACAAAACCAACAGGATTAGGAATGGCCAGGAGCACCAAAAGAGGACTTGGAGGACTGGGAAAAGCCCTTAGAGAAACTAACAAAAGTCTCAAATATTTTTGCAAAAGGGACCCTCCTCATGATTAAACTGCAAAAATAAGAAAACATGAAGTTAAGGACGCACCATTGTATTTTCATACAGTTTTGCTGGAAAAAATTATTCCAAAAGGAATATAATCAACCCAGAAACAGTCTATATCTAAGAATAAGTACGCTGTACTGCAGTCATGAAGATTACTTTAAAAATGAGTGAAAAATGAAAATGAAAATTACCATGTGATCTGGCAAAATGCCTCTGGGTATATACCCAAAAGATCTGAAAGCAGAGACTCAAGCAGCATTATTCACAAGAGCCAAAAGGTACAAGCAACCCAAGTGTCCATTGATGGATGAATGGATAAAGTGTGGTCTCTACAAATGATGGAATATTATACAGCCTTAAAAAGGGAGAAAATTCTGACACACACTACAATATGGATGAAACTTGAGGACATTATGCTCAGTGACATAAACCAGTCACAAAAGGACGAACACTGTATGAGGTCTCTAGAGCAGTCAAAGTCCTGGAGATAGTAGGACGGTGGCCGCCAGGGGCTGGGGGAGGAGGGTGGGGGGAGTTAGTGTTTACTGGGGACAGAGTTTCAGTTTGGGAAGATGAAAAGTTTCTGTGGATGGATGGTGGGGCTGGTTGCACAACAGTGTGAATGTGCTTAGTGCCCCTGAACTGCACACTAAAAAATAGCTAAAATAGTAACTTTTATGTTATGTATAAATTTTACAATTAAAAAAAAAGAATGAGTAGTTGAAAACATCACCTGGATTTATTAACTAAATAGTACAATAAACTCACTTTCATACATTTTGGGTTTTTTTTCAAGTTAAAGCCTCAACCAAATCTGACACATGTCACTCTCTTTGGTCCTATTTTATGCAGATTCATTTCAGTGGATTTCCCAGGACCAAATATTACTGGAAAACAAGGACCCTTCTGCTCAGTTCAGGAGTCGCTATTTGGAGTCACCGGCCAGTCTTCGCCCACACAGACTACTGTAAAGGTAGAAGCCATACAACACGGTGGATGAGACAGGGTCCTTGGTTCCAACCCCAGCCTTGCCAATGAGGAACTGAGAGTGGGACTTGGCCCCCATTTTGCAGGTGGGCCACTGAAGCCAATGACCTCGGAGGTCCCCCCGTCTCTGCTTGGCTTCTCTTGATTAGGCCTCTGTGAGTATTCAGAGGAGCCAGCTTGGCCGGGAGCGGTGTTGGCCGCATGCATGTCAGGGAAACCAAGTTGCTGTTCCAGAGGGATTGGGACACGGGGACGAGGCACTACAGAGGGTCCTAGCAGGGTTTGTCAGGTGGATTCAGTGTCCCAAAGACTGCTGAGCTGAGCAAGAGGGGACCTGCGGGGCTGCACTCGGCGGGGGCATCGGCCACCTGTGGCCACCCAGCACCTCCCCTCCCCATGGGTAACAGCGCCCCCGGTTGCCACCCAGGTACTTCACCTGCTCACCTACCCCTACGAAAAGCAGCGCATCTGCTCGGAGGAGGGAGGGGCACATGGCCCCTTCCCACACTAATTAGCATGATCCCGCCCCTGGCCACCGTGATTCACTGAGGCCTGCACAGGTAGCCAATGAGATGCACCAACCCGCTTGCTCCCTGCGTAGTGAGGTGTGAGGATGAGGTGGGGAGCTGTGACAGCCATTGGTGACTCCCAGGGGACCGCTTAGAGATGCAGGGGACTACAGATAGAGCCTAAAGATGACAATAGAAACGAGGTCCTTGATAACATTATTTGAGTTGCTGGATCAGGCTCTGCCTGAAGCCAGGGCTAACCCTGAACTTTTGTGTCTTCTGAGCCAGTAACTCTGACTGATTAAGTCTTGCGTTCAAGCCCCTCTAATGCAAGCTGAGAATGGAGATATGGTTTGGCAGCCGGCAATGTGAAAACCCCATGGGTGGGTATTCTTGTTTAAGCGTGAAACCATGTGAGGTTTCCAAAGGCTTGGGCCACAGCCTGAAGAAGAAAAGACACAAGGGCCACTGTTTGAAGACTCCAGGGTGGAGGCAAGTAGCCTTTATTATGGCCCCAGAGAGTGGTGCTTGATCAGGATGAGGGGGAAGCAAAGGTGAGACTTGGAGAATCATAAGGAGGCAGTTTTAGCTCACTGTGAGGGAAAACTTTCTCACAGGGATTGCTGACCAAGAATGGAATGGGCTGTCTTGTGAGGTAATGAGCTTCATGGCAGAGGAGGTATGTAAGGAGGTCAGGACTTCAATGGCCTGAATTTTTTTTTAAAGATTTTATTTATTTGTCAGAAGGAGAGAGAGAGAGTGAGTGAGCACAAGCAGGGGGAGTGGCAGGCAGAGGGAGAAGCAGGCTCCCCTCTGAGCAGGGAGCCCCATGTGGGGCTCGATCCCAGCACCCTGGGATCATGACCTGAGCCGAAGGCAGACGCTTAACCGACTGAGCCCCCCAGGCGCCCCAATGGCTGGAATTTTGAATAGAGTTGGAGGTTGAACTCGACAATATCTACATCTTCCCACCATGAGACGTTGCTTCCCCCCACCTCCCACTAAATTATTTAAGGGCTTCAACAAGCAAAATGAGATGGAGGGGACAGCCCTTATTTAGAAGTTTCCTAGCATAAGCTCGCTCTGGCACACCGGTCCCTACACTTCCCGCAGCCCCACAGCCACTGGAGTCTTAGAAGCCCTGCTCCAAGTGCAACCTTCGGCATTAACAACGACTAAATCTTTCACAGAGCGCGCGGTAGGTGCCAGGCACTGTTCTCAGTGCTTTAAACATTTTCCTCACAACAACGAGGTAGGTAGGTATTGCCATTCCCCACGTCTTGCAGATGAGGAAGTGGAAGCACAGAGAGCCCGAGCAACCTGTTCAAGCCGCACAGCTCAGGTCTGGAGGAGCTGGGATACCCGCTCGGGCCACTGGCTCCAGGCCCACACCTCAGTGGCCCTGCCCAGTGGGAGGGAAGCTTGGAAGACAAGGCTGCAATGACGCAGCCCAGCTGCCGTTCTCATTAGGTGACTACGGGTCACAGGCAATGACGTCAGGAAGAGGAAGCCACTGAGAAGAGTGTGGAGAGTGGGACAGATGAGGACACACTTCGGAATTTTCCAAGAAATAAAATGTGGCTGCGGAGAAACAGAGTTTCCCTAGGGAGACCGAGGGTGTGCTACTCATATCTAGTAATTGGTATTTAACCGAGTCTGTCATTACCCTGCTGATTCAATCTGTAGGATCACTCACATAATCACACAAATGTGCTGTAATATCTCCCCCTTAATACAAAAACCCAAAACCAACCAAACAAAATAACCCTCCCCACCATATGGCTGCCCCCAGCTTCCACCCCTTTCTCTGTCTACTGTAGAGCAGAGCTTCTTGAGGGGTTGCCTCTGCTGTTCCAATCTCAGCTCGTCACCCGTCACTGCTGAGTTGCTAGACCCAGTGGGTGCTCCTCAGTGCTCGTCTCGTTTGGCTGGTGACATGAAGACTACATTTCACAGGGCACATTTCATAGTGCACACTTCACACACACACTTCACAGGGCACACTTCAGAGGCACACTTCTCAGAGTATACTTCACAGGGCATATTTCACAAGGCACA